ATTAGTTTCGTCACCCGTAATTAATTACGTAATTACGTTTTTAAAGAGTGAAAGTGGTAATTAATTACGTTAATTACGAATTACGTATTTACGGTAATTAGCTACTTACCATATCATGTATAATTATAGTAAGCAAGAATGAATTTTTAGAATGTCATTGATTTTTATTTTGGTTTTCTTCTAAAATTTTCTGTGCTATTGATTTTTTATGAGAAGCAGCAAAACAACTTATCCATCATTCAATTGTTTTGATTGTTGGTAACTCTTTGGATGTAAGTTCACCAAGTTTTACATGCTCTTTCAATTCTTCTGACATATCTTTTGCAGAAAATTATTGACTTCTGTCCATATTACCAAAAAGAAAATATATTTGCAGGTATTCCTTGACTTTATCACCAATTGGTTTTCCACCCCCTTTATTTCCATAAACTTGATTTTCCTTCAAAGCCCATCCTATCACAAAATAATCAACTCGATTGGCAAAGTAACATAGTTAGTGTCAGTAAACTTGTTTTTTAAGGCGAGTTCCAAGGAAAAAATAATTTTATTTTTTAAATGATTCTTACTGGATTATATCATTATCAATTTTTCCCCACATTTCACTAAGGTTTGATTCTGATTTATGTTTTTCTACATTCCTCTCATTCATATCATTTATAGCATCAGTCTCTTGTGGAATTGGATTTGTTGCTTCTACAAAAAAAGTATAACAATCTACAAATACAAATACATGTTCAGATATGTAAATTCATACCTGTAATTTTCATTTTTGTTTAATTATCAATTGCTTCTTGCAAAAGAGCCACTAATTCAACATGACTACTATTATTATCAAGTTCCAGATTATATTTTATCATTTCTTCTTTGATTTTACTAATAGACCACTGACTGGGATTAAAGGTTATGTTTATTTATAATATTTTATTAGTAAAAGGATCAATTTTTTTTTTACATTTGGGTAACTACTTACTATTGTTGCTTGGCATTGGAATTATCCATTTAGAATATGCATTAATCACAAATGGATGAAATTGCACACCTTCCAATGATGCTTTTAAATTGATTTCTTGTTCTAATACTAATGGGCCAGAATATTTGGTGTTTGTGGACAGATTCAATTGTTTATATAAAGAAGTAATTGCTTTGCTAGAAGAATCTTAAACATCACTAAACTCATTTCCAGTATAACTTCTAAAACCAGGGTGTGATTTATCAGTTCTGTTACCTTCTAATACTTTTGTATAGTATTTACTTCAATAGCAGTTTGCCAACCAACACGTATTGGATAAAGAAATGCACCACTAGTTAAATCAATATCGCCACTCAGGTACACCAATGAATTGCATTGATACCATAGTGTAAAATGGGTAAAATTGAGCCAATAGTTATAAGTTTTACATTAAAAATTGGTCGTTTGCTCATTTTTAAATTTTAGAAATGAGAAGCAGTTAAAGATATTAATATTAATATTAATATTAATTTTATCCCGAATTTTTATTATGCAGATCTTTTCACATTTTTGTTGTTAGAAGCTTTAAAGAAAATAACTCTGAATTTTATTATGCAAAGTGGATATTGTTTCTAAGCCAGAAATGTTCTGCATAAAAAATTACATATAAGAGTTGTATTAAATCAAAATTTCTTTCCAAGCTAAAAACAAACCGATCTGGCCCTCATATATATATTATGTAATTTTAGAGCTATTTCTATAAATTTAAATTAGAAAGATAGCCAAGAGCTCGGAGATTTATTTAGTAAAATTTAAAGTAGAAATTTAGATATAAAATATTGATTTCCACAGCGGCTCCAGATTATGGACACTAATAGATTTTACTATGATTACTTATTCCCGAATTTTACTATGTTGATCCTTTCCTTCATTGATGGATCACGAATTAATTGTGATTTAAATCAATAAAAAAATTAATTTTTTTAAATCTTTTTTTTTTGCAAATTAAAATAACTACTACATTCGACGAAATTAAAAAAGATAAAGACACTGCACTTGAAGAATACAGGAAAGCAGATGTGAAGTTGAAGGAATTCGAAGAAGGGGAGGATGACGGAGTATTGTTGAAGAAGTTGAGGAAAAAGAGAAAAGAACTTGATGAAGATGACAAGAAGCAGCTGGCGAGACTGGAGGAAGAAGAGAAGAGGTTGAAGGAGGAGAAGAAGGATTGGAGGAATAATGTAATATTCTTAGAAACGGAATTAGTTAAAGAAAAAGGTAATGAACAAATTGCATAAAAAAATATACAAAAAATTATTTTCCATTTATTCCATTTTGTTGATTTATTTTTTATTATTGTGGAATTCAATGCATTAAAATTTTCTTAAAGGATCCAAGCATTTTATTTCTTCTTCTGATGAATACCCTTTTAAAAGAATGCTTTTGGATGAAGATACTGCACTTTTTAAATTCTGGAAGGATATTCAGAATGTTGAAATTGACAAAAAAATAATTTCTTTAACAGAAGGTGTTTACTTGTTGGGTAAAATGGAACAAGGATCAAATATTTTTGTTCGTCAATGTTATATTGATCTCTCCATGATAATTTTTGACAGTGATAAATTGGAAAAATTTTGTATTACAGGAACTCCAGGAATTGGAAAGACATTTTTTGTTTACTACCTGCTTATTCAATTGATAAAAAAGGGGATGAGTGTAGTGTATGATCAAGTCAATCAGAGTCCAATTTTCTTTCATCAAGGAAACATACACACCCTGGACAAAAGTATCCGGACACCTGTTTTTACTAATTACACAAAAACGCGCATAATAACTACACATAAA